GATTAATCTCTTTCTCGATCCCGCACAAATCTTTACCCATGAAACCACTTCTACCATACGAAACTCAAAAAACAAAAATAAAACTAGAACAAAGCCCACCATAGGAGCACTTATTACACTCAAACCTATAATATGGGTACTTACTACCTTCAAAAAGTGTAGATCTATTTAATTCAATAACAAAACACATAAAGAAACTAAAGAGAACTCTAAATTTGGCTATTTCTAGCCTATAAAACACTTTTTATGAAGAACCCTGGAAAGAAAAAAATAGAGAGGAAACGACTAAGCCTTAATTTGTGAGTTTGTAACCTTAAGTACTACTTTTTCCGTATTTTTAATATTGCACCACTTGTCTTTTAAAAAAATATCACATATATTGCATTATTTCTATTTTTGGAAAACAAATAGTCCATATTATGTTCACACTACAAATATCAATAATAGCCGTACTTTTAACCCTTGATTTTTTTAGTTTATATGTACCTCACATGGGCAATCTTGTAGTTTTACCTTTCTATCTCATTCTTTTTCTCACCACCAAAAAACTTGTACCCAATTCCTATAACGCAATTTTAAAAAAAAAATAGTAAAGCCTGGGGGAGTTGGGGTGAGTAAAAATTCAGGGTACCCCGACCTGGAACCAGAACCTGCTCAGAACCAGTAGATCAGGTTCTGGTTCTAGGTAATAAAATTGGGAACCTGTTGCAACAATTTCCGGTTTCGGGTAATAAAATTTTGGACCCGAAACCTGTAGAATACCCTGTTAGTATAGGTTCCATATAGGATATATGAAACCGGAACCTATCATTTAAGCCCAAGTCTAAAAGCCCTATATCAAAATTGTATAAAAGCCGCCACCTATCTCTCTCCCTCCTCTTATTCATTTTTCATCTTACTCTTAAAGGTTTAATTAATGGTATCCCTACCTTATAAAAAGTACAAGATTACACTTATGAATAGTATTATGCCAATTATGCCCTTCAAAATGTGTATTTACATATATACCCTCATTAATGTGTATAATTTTATGTAATGAATAGTGTTTGGACAATTATACCATCTAGACTATTTATTCACTGTCATTAATAATGAATACTTTTTTTAAAAAAAAAAAATTAAGAATAGTGCATGGAATAATTTATACCCCTTAATATATTTGTTTATATATTTTTCTCATTAATAAGTTATCAAGAACTAAATTTCTGATATAAGGTTAAATCGAATTGAAAGAGATTTCCTTGAAATAAAAAAAATCGAAAAAGATTTTTGATATGGCTAGCTATTGAGCGCGCATCGCGCGCGTTAGCTGCCCTAGTTAATATAAGTATTTGTAATTTTATATTAAATATTCTAAACAATCAAGTAACTATTAAGCTTACTTTGAAAGACAGGATACACTGTTTTAGAACCAGAATCGGAACCCGATTCCAGTTCCGGCTCCCAATTTTTAGGAACCTACTGAACAAGTTTCGGTCCTGGATCGTTAAATTTTTACAAAGTACCCTGCTACGCTCACCCCTAATAAAGCCGGCAATTTAAAAGTAGTCCCAAAAATTGAAATATAATAAAGGTCCACAAACACAATCAACACTTTCTAATTGTACAAACTACTTAAGTCAAGTCAGTGCCGTAAATTTCTGTTAAGCCCATATGGTTGGCTGATATTATTGCCGTTCTTTTCCCCTATCTCCCTCACTTTCTCTCTCTATATATTTTGTGGTAATTTAATTGAGAGAGAAACTTAGAGAGAGATTAACTAACAAAGAAATGCAGACCCATGAAGCAATAATACATGATGATGAGATCCCAGAAATTAAATCAGAGAGAGTTCATCAAAATTATAATAATAATAGTGGCAAAGAAATCAAGGATAATTCTATGGAGCAACATAAAGTCTCTCTTATGAGAACCCTTGTTGATCGTCGAGATCCCTTGGCTAAGGTTAGTATCGAACTTATTTGTGTAACATCTTCGGTAATTTTAAGTGGTCGTATGATTCAAAGCTTAGTCTATCATTATGATCGGAATTATATATTGTCGAGTGTGTTATTCTATGTGATATAGTGTAAGTAGAGGTTCATGATTAATTTATATGCAAAAGGAATAAAAATTATTAACAAAGACAAAAGGGGAAATCATGGCAAAATTGTTCAAGGATAACATTCAAATACCCTATAATTTTGTTCATAACCAGCCACCAAACCCGGAAGAAGACAGCACGTGACTAAGTGAATCTGTTAACTTTTTATTCTTTACTAGCTATTTTGATTTGAACCAACTAAACTAATCGACAGCGTATTACATTTTTTAGTTATGATTGCTTATGAGAAATCATCGCGCTAGATTTAGTTTTAATCAGTAAAAATAATTTTAATCTTGTATTTGGTGTTAGATAAAGTGAACATGGTTAAGAATGGGCCTCGGCACCAAGCCGGGGACCATTTTAGGCCATGATCTAGCCTAGTAGTAAATGAGTAAGACAAAAGTAAATTTTCAACTACTAAATGCAGGTTAAGAATAGTCAAGTAAATTAAACGCATCAAATGAAGTAGAAGCCAAAATAATCTCCAAGCTACTACTGTATTTATTAAATATCGCTTAATGATCCTTAAACTTCTAAAACTATCTCAATAATTACCAACATTCTCGATTTTAAGCTCACCGGAGAAGTTTAGAACCTTAATTTGCACAGTTAGTGGTAGACTCGCACACACGATTGCATTACAACAATGCCTAGTAAAATTGCACTTGTTTGTCAATATACACATAGTTATGTAGTCCATAACTTAACAATGTATGCATCAGGAGGCGGATGACTTGATGTTGAGGAGATTCTTAAGAGCCCGCGACCTAGATGTGGAGAAAGCAGCAGGGTTGTTCTTGAGGTATCTCAAATGGAGGAGGACATTTGTACCCAATGGCTTTATCTCAGAGAAGGAGATAGAGTATGATCTCGGCCACAAAAAAATGTTTCTGCAAGGCTTTGATAAGCAAGGCCGCCCAATTAACGTTGTCTTGGGAAGTAAACATTTCCAAAATCCCAAACCAGGAGGTCTTGATGACTTCAAGCGTATGTTACTTACTCATATTATCTGCGAAAACACAGTTTTTCAATCTTCTGCAATACTATGCAACTTTGGCAAAGTTCTAAGCAGCTTGTTCTGGTTTCGTTGGTTTTACAGGATTCTGTGTTTACAGTCTTGACAAGATATGCTCAAGGTTATGCTCTACGCAATCTCATATGACAGTCCTTAATCCTTTCCGTTGTAGTTGTGCAATCAAATAATGTTTACTGCCTGACTAAACTGCAACATTGTATCTGATTACTATACCAGGATACCGCCTGGACAGGAAAAGTATCTGGGTATTGCTGATCTTCAAGGATGGGGATATTCTAACAGTGATGTCCGTGCATACATAGGGGTTCTCACTCTACTGCAGGTATATGCAATTATGCAACTCAGGCATAGGCATACATACTGACAATTTGATCAACATATTCCCTCGTTACTTTCAGACTAAAACAATGTATTGACGCTTCAATGCTTGTGTTTATTGCAGGAATGTTACCCAGAAAGATTGGGGAAGATGTTGATAGTACACGCCCCAAGAATCTTTATGACAGTGTGGAAGATCATCTGCCCTTTCATAGATGCAAAAACTAAGACTAAGGTAATTCAAAATTGTCTTATAAGTCAGTGTTCTAATGTAGTTTGCTAGTTATACAAACATGCATTAAAAAACTTCCGAACATAAAGAACAAATTTTGCTATAGAAATTAAGAAGTATAGCTCATATGAAATATTTCATCTGTTAATTAAAATTACCATTTTCGCACTTTGCAGATGGTATTTGTGGAGAATCGGCACCTGAAATCAACCTTGCTTGAACACATTGACGAGAGCCAGCTCCCTGACATATATGGAGGCAAACTACCGCTGGTACCTATTCAAGATGCCTGACAGTAATTAGTATAACTGAGCGAGACACAGAAACAGATGATATTCAGGAAACAAATTTTCAAAAAATTTGAAATGATTCCTGCACCACGGATAGTACCTCTTAACACTCCCACGCAAATACAAGTAGCCGGAAGAATCAATAGCATAAACCTCTGTAGTTCATGTTGAATTATGATATACTAGGGCTTTGTGATTGTATAAGATATCCATCGTACTACTCCATCACTGACTCGTGTAATATTATCACTAGGAAGTGATCATTGTCTATTAGTTTAGATGGCATATTCCATCACTTTGCTGCCAAAGTTTCAGACTACTTATGCAATTATTCATATTCACAAACTTTATTCGTGATCTTGTATATCTTCATTCATTAATTGCCTGAAAAAGAAGTGAACCCAACTACTTGTTCATTCTATTAAAAAGATTGAAAGAGAAGGGATTGGGAGGATAAGGGTCCATTTCCGTTATTCTGGTCTCAATTTGGTACTCGGACAACAAAAAAATGCTAGAGAATAGAGCTGATCATGGACCGAGCCAAGTTTGATTAGCTCTGAGAGTGAGGCCTATTTATATCCACTCTATAACTACGTAAGATAAATCCGTTCAAAATTGGAAAGATTTGAAAGAAAAACCTTGCTTCACCTCCCCTCTCCTCTTTTCCCCTCGTTCCTTCGCTGCAGAATTTGTTGTTGCAAATCTATGTTATTCCATCTATTCATTTCACCTCGACTAATTTGGACACTAGACACGAGTGACGTACTACCTCCGTTACAGCTTATGTGCAACGATTTGACATAAAGCAGAAAGGGAAAATGTCTAATTGTTGCACATAACCTGTAACGGAGGTAGTATCTATGTTTGACACTTCTAGCCGAATCTGAATAACATAGACGAAAACAAACTACAGCTCCCCTTCACCAAAAAAAAAACAAACTACAGCTCCTACAAGACTGATAACAAACTAACTAGGTTGGCATTGGCTTCATATGGTTTGTTAGTTTAAAACGTCATGAAAGAGTTGCATTATTTTTCCAAAGGATCATATTCATACAAAATACCAATGAAAGATTTTGGTGTCAATGAAGTGTGGTCACGACTTGTCATTTGTCCACGCCATACACATGCAGTCAATAAATACAGCTAGTTGGTTGAATATTATAATACCTAAATAAATACAAACAATTAAATATCAACTTTTCTGACGACCCATCAAAAAAAAAAAAAAAAAATCAACGCTTTTATATAGCTATTAGCTAACCAAGATCTCAAGTTTCCAATCTCTCTCATCTTCCACAAAACAATCACCTCCACCAAAACCGGTGGGAAAATGAATTCAAGATATCAAGTAGTTGGTATGACCAATAATAAGACATGAATGATTTTTCAAAACTTCTGTAGTCATAAAGGTTTGTATATCAATCGAGGTTGTAAGATCAAACCCCACTGGCCCTAGCCATTAATAGACGCAAATTAGATCCTACACGAATACACCCCGGTGATTCATTTATCGCACCCTACCTATCAAAAACCATACACAACAACATCAACACATAAAGTTGGTCATTTATTCTGGGTTGATAATTTTTGGGTCGGTCATTTCTTTCTGCTGTCACAATATTGTTATCGTTATTGCTATCGTTTAACCATTCTTCCATAATCACTATTCAGCAACTTAGAAACACAAAAGAGAGAGAAAATAGAGAAAGTGAGGATGGCAGAAACAGATCATGCGAGTAATGGAATAGAAAGCAAGGACGACACAGCAGAGCAACATAAGCTCTCCCTGATGAGAGTTTTCGTCGAAAGCCGAGATCCCTCTTCTAAGGTTTTCTACTCTACTTTTTTGCTCAATCTTCCCTTCCCCAACAAGAAAGATGAATTAACTAGGGAAGATCTCATATGAACTTGTGTGCTTTAATAAGCATTTCGTGTTAGAGCTCATGCTAGTGATGCTACTCTAGCTAATTGTCCTCCATAACATTAAGCCTTATAATACATTACTAGTACTGATCTTTATAAAATCTCTGACATTAAAAATTCAGAAGTCGAACTAATTAAACTATTCATCAAGATTCAAGATCACAAAAAAAATAAGTATTGCTACAATATACATCACAAAACTATGTGTTGTATTCTTGGGGTTGTACTCAAGAGCCGAGATTGAATCTCGTCTATGTCATTTACCATTAGTGACTTTATTTATGTATTACAAAAACAATAATGTTTGTACAAAACTGAAGGGTTTCTGATGTGCAAACCAGGAAGTAGATGACTTGATGTTGAGAAGATTTCTAAGAGCTCGTGATCTAAATGTGGAGAAGGCGGGTGCCATGTTCCTAAAGTATTTGAAATGGAGGAAGACATTTTTACCAAAAGGTTGTGTCACAAAGGAAGAGATACAGTATGACCTTTCCCATAACAAAATTCATCTAGGAGGTGTAGACAAGAAAGGACGCCCTATTGTGGTTGCGTTTGCAGGTCGGCACTACCAAAATTCCAAATCAGGGGGTCTTGATGAGTTTAAGCGTATGTATCTTACTGTTTAACTATTACTACTTAAGCTGCAACAATCTACAGAAAAGTTAGTTTCTGATCTAAACATACTTCTCTGGTGGGTTTCTGAACAGGTCTTGTTGTGTATACTCTTGACACATTATGCGCAAGGTACCTCTCTCGTTTTCATTCTTGTATACGAATTGAAGTATACAATGCATTTTAGTGAGGTCATTTTCATTAAAATGCTTTCTGTTAATCTCATATGTTTTAGGCCATCCCAAATCCTAGACTACTACAGCAGATTTCGGAGATAATTGTGGTTAAGTGTGTCATTCATTGATGTTTATAGCCGCGTAGCTAATATATAGGTAACTATAAAACAGGATGCCTGCTGGACAGGAAAAGTTTCTTGCTATAGGTGATCTTCAGGGCTGGGGATACTCCAACAGTGACATCCGAGGATATCTTGGGGCGCTCTCTATTTTGCAGGTAAATGCAGTTTTAGTTGCATTTAGGCCTATGTTTACAAACACTATGATCATATTCCTAATAAGAGCCCCTTGAGAGAAATCAGAGGGGAAAGATTATAATTCAATGATCATTTGACTCCTAGAATTTGTGGCAATGGCACGTTTGTCACAAACTACTCACAGATGAATAATGACACAAAAAAAAAAAAAAAAAAAAAGGAACTATATCGCAGAAAGAAAATAATGTGCTATGGGTGTGTTCCAGGATTGCTACCCAGAAAGATTAGGGAAGCTATGCATAGTGCACGCACCAAAAATCTTTATGGCGGTATGGAAGGTTATCTACCCCTTCATCGATGACAACACCAAGACCAAAGTGAGTTCTCGAAAGCACTTTGCCCTCTATATTTATTTATTTTTCTTTCTTTATTTGGTTTTGGGTAAAGGAATGGTTTTAAATCTCATGAACGTAAAGGATGAGACCATGAGGGTATGACTTACATATTATTCCATGTGAGAAACAATCACTATTTTTCACACTGTTGCAGATAGAATTTGTGGAGAAAAAACAGATGAAATCGACCATGCTAGAAGACATTGAGGAGAGCCAACTTCCAGACATATATGGAGGCAAACTGCCGATAGTGCCCATTCAAGATGCTTGAAGATACTGTAGCACTGCAAAGCCACAAGGACACCCTTTAGAATCCACTGCTGTCAAAAGAACTCAGTCAGTGTGATTCTACCTTTCTGATCACTCCCGTTGATCATATCTGGAAAAATGTGTATTCATTAGATTCGCAGGCAGAATCCACAATTGTTACGTGTTTAGCTATTGTTAAATTATGAGTAACCAAAGTCTGTATGATGACAAATTATTAATATATACACTATTTGCATGCTATGCTCATGTTATTACCATCACCAGAAAGGAATAAATCTTACTACTTCTAAACAGAGATACCATTCTCCAAATCGCAATGAATTTCATGGGTAAATACAAGTTAATCTCTGAGATTAACAAAATTTGTTTATCACATGGCAATTTTGTAAATAAATCAACATTTTTTTCCATAAAAGTGGGTCCTACAGAGATGATGACTGGATAAAGTTGTTGATTTATTTACCAAAATGCCACGTGATAAACAAATTTTGTTTATCGCAGAGATTAACTGGGGCTTCCTCGAATTTCATAGTAATAGTAATAGTAATACATGCTCTACAAATTAAATGCCAATCTAAGTTTCAGATAAACTGATATTCAATGAGTTCAAAATTGACATTCTGTACCAAGTTTATGCTAAATTCCTTGATACAGGAAACCAAACTCTCCCCCCAATTCCTGATATCCCGGCATTGTACATGGCGGGCACATGGAAACTGTCAAAAGGACACATAGATATGGCTCGCTAACAACCATGACCAAGAAACTCGAAACCAAATAAATCTCCATTCAGAATCCCTACAGTTCATAGTTTGTGGATTAGGTTCAACACCCCAAAGATTTAGGTACCGTCATACCATCCCATGTGATATGCTTTAGCTAAGGTCAATTTGGGATACTCTAAATCCGGAATGCTTATTTGAGAATCAAACAGACAAACAAGCATCACATAAGCTATTCAGAAAAAACCAATCACATCATGATAACACTGAATACATAAAGTCACTACCTGAGTGTTATAGGCTTGAATAAGCAAGAAACATTCCAAGTATGTTTCAAATTAAAGCTAGTAGAACCAATAAAAAAAATTCTGATTATCCTATTTTATTCTGTGAAACCCACAGCGAAGCCAAGGTAAAACTGTACTCTACTTAAATAACAAAATTTTCTGTCACATAATACACTCCAAGTTAAAGCTTGCTAGGGAATATATGGTTTACCTAGAGTATATACAAGGAATTAACAGATTAAGCGACAGCATTCAAACATAATATTACTAGCAGACCATGTTTAGAGCAAGTTTAGCCCCAAGTCTTAAGGCTTGGATGTGACATCATTTTTGGTGGTCCCTACTGAAAATGATGTCAACAAATTCTTGTTAAGACTCACTAAGACTTACACAAATTTATCACTTTAGCCCTAAGACTTAATTATTTGACATATTATATGTAGAAAAGTGTAAAAAAAAAAAAAAAAAGATAATAAAGATAAAAGTGAAGTGGGTCCCAATCTCAAGTCTTAAGTTGAGTCTTGAAATTTCAAGACTCAAATTGAGAATTGCTTGAGATTTTTGAAGAAAAATGGGAAAAGTCTTAAGTATAAATCTCAAGACTCAAAATGATGATGTCACCCCAAGTCTTAAGACTTGGGGCTAAACTTGCTCTACCACCGTTTCTACCCATGTATGTACTGGCAGGTTAAGTTATGAGCATTTAAACAAATTTTAAATAGCAGAAGTTCACTAGAAATAAAAAAAATTAATAAGATATTAGGTCATTTGTGTTGTGCCTCTAAATTGGTCAGGGAAAAGTTTCCAAATCTGCTATTCCACACCAATTGGAAACAAGACTGCTGTACGAGTCAGCCATGAGTCCAAGACCCACCTTGGCACCTCCCTTTTCCAAAATAACTTCAATATTTAAGTCCAGCCATAGCATCCAAAGGATGACCCAGCCCAGGGATCCATAGATTCTTAGAAGCAGCATAGTTCATCTGCATGTGCAAGCAGGGTAGAAAATGGAAAGTTGTCAACCCACAATGAAAAAAAAGGAAAGGTCATCCTGGTTTCACTGCTCGATTGAGAATTAACACAACATAAACTTATTTGGTAACTCCAATATTACTAGCAGCTCACAGCCTCTTTAAATATGTAACTCGATGCAATGCTCGTAGGAGTCGTAGCTGAAATCTATCCCCTTTCTTTTACATTACAGTAAGACTCACTCAAAAACAGATTCATTAAAATTATCAAACTTGAGCTTTGACCTCAAAATCCATCAACCATGACAAACAACTAAGAGAAAAATCCTTCTATACCAACATCTCAGTTGGAAAGTTTTACAAAGTCTACCAGCAGATACCTTAACTCAAAAGCTGCATTGGGCACAATTTTAGGATATAACTGGCCCGACTAAGTAAGAAAGTCAGGAACTTGCAGAGGTAGGAACATGCATTTGCTCAGCATCCTTGAGAGCCAAGAAATTGATATGGAACACCAGCAATTAAACCTTTAATAAACCAACCACATAAGGTGCAACATTGTAACTCACATATAGATATGGGTGGATTCCTACTCTTTCCATGATCTCTACAGGCGACAGTATAGTAACCCACATATAGAGACATAGGTCAGTGTTTTAGTTCCATGTTCCATTTATGTATGGAAGGACAGCAAAGTATATCACTATATCATAGAACCAATCGATTTCATTCAACAAAAGCATCAGACACAAGGTAGATAACAATCAATTGACAATGTAGAAGAACACCGTGCACTCAACAAGCTTGTGAGAAAAAAAATATCCAGGTCACATCTTTAGATGACTACAAATCCAAATTGCAATTTAAGGCACCAACCTTGAGGAGGACACTTAGAAGCATGGCAGCAGTAAAAATGTAAGATTGACTAATACAGCACCTGCAGAGCAGAAATTCAAAGTCACCACCTAAAAAAGAAAATTTAAAAAGTAGTTCAAGAGAAAAAAAAATGACATTATAGATTCATAGGCAGCCGAGCACAGCCACTGACAGAGAAGCTCCTGGAATAAAGTCTAAAATGGATCAACTAACACTCAATCAAACTAAGACAAACTAATTAATTGCGAGAATAAGATTAGTAGCTGACTAGCTGCAGACTTTCCAAATCCAATTCTCCTATATCTTGTACGTGAAAGGCATGTGATTAAAAGAAACATGTACACTTTTTCTGCAATTCTGCATTCTAAAGGCTACACAAGGAACACAACATTATAACCTAGAAAAAAATCTTGATCACATAACAACATACTCCCTAATTGAACTAATAACCAAACATGTTCAGTTCGTTGTGCCAAATCTAAACCCAAACAAGTTCATGGTCATCAAATTTCAAACATGTAGATACATCTTACTAGTTCTTCTAATTGTTCGTGAATTTACTTTGTTCTACTATAAGCCACAGATACTATAAAAGACAATGAATGATAATTGACTATAATCACTTACATATTGTTTAAGTGGTTTCCGACAAAGGTAAAAGTTACTTTGGAGTGTATAATTACAACTAATTATCTGGTCCACAGACTAGTGCCTCAGAATATTCAAATTATTGGCACAGAAAACTGACCAAGAATTTTATTTTATTTTATTTTATTTTTTTAAAAAAGGATGGGCAATATGGAAATTTATTACCCGAGTACAGTAGAACCTTGAAAGTTGTAAGAATAACTAAGTTTCATTTATTTCTTCAAATATAACCTTGGAATTATAACTAACTAAGTTTCACATACTTGGACATGCATATTCTTCTTCTAACATTGACCAACAAAGACTTACAAAGAGGGGTTAATGGAAGAAGAAACAGACAAAAACAGATTCAACATAAGTGGAATACCTTCATTACTTCATATCCAAACTTGAAGCAGAACAACACAAACTATTTGATCAATTTTCTTCTCTCTAGCTTTAGCTGATCTATCAGCTTACCAATCTAATTTTGTCAGCGGTGTATATCCTCACTAGGAAACAGCCTCATGTATGAAGGAAGTTTCATACGTTCATTAGAACTTGTTGAACACTCACCAGTAGTCCCCACACGAACAAGAACCAGCTTCAAACTTGTGAAATCGGACACGATCCCTGACAATGATCACCCTTGCCAACATCCTTGAAACTATTTTAAACCAAGAATGACAGTCATAGCAAGTTCGTAAGTTCTTTGTAATTCGAATTTCCGTTCTCGGACTAGTTTTAAGTACTCCAAAAGCTAATGCTAATTTCTCACTGTGGAAAATCAAATTCTCCTCCTTTTCCTCCTCTGAAACATCCATCAAAACCAAGTCTGTTGCAGGAACATAACCCCCTAACTTGGCTCTTTTAATCAATTGTTTCATAATCTTGTATATTGCCTCCATTTCAGGGTGTGCCTGATTACCTGCCTTAAAATGGTGTATGATCCCCGCTAATTCAATCCAACTTTTTCCATGATCCTTGTGGATCCCCTCCCTTTTCATCTCCTCTCTCATGTTTGCAGAGCTGCTCCACTTGTTTAAAGAACAATATGTGTTTGACAGCAATACATAATCACCACCATCAAGGGATGATATATTTCTAATGGCAATTTCACCTAGTGGTGCATTTCTGTAAGTTCTACAAGCACTGAGAAGTGCCTTCCATATTACCACATCAGGTTTCATTGACATTGCTCTGATGGTGGCATAAGCTTCATCTAGTCGTCCAGCACGACCTAAAATATCAACCATTGTTCCATAATGCTCAAGTTCTGGCTCTATAGAGTATTTTCTATTCATCATGTCAAAATATTTCTTTCCCAGCTCAACTAAACCACAATGACTACATGCAACTAAAATTCCAAGAAATGTTATACTATCAGGAAAAATATTTTCCTCTTCCATTCGAGAGAATACATAAATAGCATCAGTGGCAAGACCATGAACAGCCAGGCCAGTAATCATCGAATTCCAAACAGACACACTACTGCTTTTGCAACCATCAAAAATTTCTTTTGCTATTTCTATTTTCCCACATTTTGCATACATATCTATAATTGCAGACAGTAAAATGTCATTCAATGCAATTTCCTTCTCGATCAAGAGATTATGTATCCATAAAGCATGGTCAAGAGCTCCAAGCCGTGCACACCCAGCAATAACAGAAGAAAATGTAAACTCATCCGGCTCAACACCCAATAAGCACATATCCTTAAACATTCTTAATGCCTCCTCTACTCTAGAATTTTTAACACAACCACCAATCAAGGAATTCCATGAGACAACATCTTTTAAAGGCATGTTAAAAAACACCCTTTTGGCAGCTTCAACATCTCCATTCTTCATAAACCTTGATATCATTATATTCCCGGTAATTAAATCAGCATTCCAACATGGGGTTTCATCTAGAAGGCGGCGGGCAAAATCAAGCTTCCCACAATCAATATAAGTCAGCAACATATGAGATACGAGCGAATAGTCCATGCCAAATCCTAATTTAACAATCTTGACATGGGTTTCAAGTACTGCTTTCGAATCCAAGGCGGTTTTACAGTCATCAAGAACACATTTAAGCATTTGAAAATCTGGGGAAAAAATGGATAACCATATTCAACTTGCCATGAATATACTTAATTTAGAAATATTAGGACACTATTTACACACTCTAATTGGACTATGTTTGATGATTTATACTTAAAAAAAACATAATCATGCATGATTTTGTAAGATGTGTCTCAACATATACTTACAAAACATCAACATATACTTAAAATTTGATTATTGCAACTAATTGGTAAGCTTTAAACGATGAAACAATGCATTTCCAACAATACCCAATCAAATTAAAATATACTATAAAGTGTTGATATTCAGTTGTAATCAGCATTTGTTTGTAGAAGGCAGTAAACAAACAAGAAGTGACCATTTTTTGCATTTTTTTTGTCTATATCAATTCAGCAATTAAAAATCATCAATTTCCCATTAATTATAATAAAAAGAAAAAAAAAAGATTGATTGATGAAGAAAATAGACCTGTTGCAGTGGCAGCGGCAGGAAGGGGTGAAGAAAAGCGACGAGAAAAGAGGAGAGAGAGGCACATCCTAGTGTTCTGGTGAAGCGTCGGCATGTTAAAACATTTCCTCCTGTTTTAGTTCTGGGTAGTTTTTAAATTCGAACGATACAAGGGTTGTTTTGTAATTTGCACGGAATACTCCGCAATTGAAATTACTAGGGTGTAAATTACTAGGGTGTACTCGTGCAAAATGCACGGGATATATAAAAAAAATCTAATAACAAAATTATATTTTAAAAAAGTGAAATTGAATTTTATAAAGTTCTCAATATATAATAAAATTATATTTCAAATACTACCTCTGTTTCTTATTAGTTGCAACTCTGAGTATTATTTGTGAGATATAAAATATTCCAAAGTTACGACTAATAAGAAACGGAGGTAGTACATGAAGTTGATATATATATATATATAATACTCGGTATATTCGTGATAAGCTATTTGGATTATTTCCTTGTCGAGTACGGAGTACTAGATATACTTATAGTAGACATAATATAGAGCGACGCACGAAGTAATGTGTGACTGGCCTTATCCTAGTATATATATATATATAATACTCGATATATAATAAATAGGTAGTTTTTTTTTTGTAGTTGGGTGTTATTAAGAAAAATAATAGTGGAAGTTAAGAGAGGTGGAAGTTGTTTTTTTATTTTTTTTTTTTTTTTTTTTACTGGAAGATTAAAGATTGCATTTATAAAATAGTCAAACGACACTTACAATCAATTTTTGAGAAATTTAAAATTCCAACAAAAACATATAAAACCTTAAAATAACATCGCATAATCGATTGATAATAGCCTTAACAAAAAAACTTCATTCGAAGCAATACAATCTGTGAGTTCGCTCTAATTCGGCATAAGATCTGTAGATGCATAATTTTTTGGATGAATATCCTTCCGTGATCTTCTAAATTCCAGTAGAAATTGCAAAACCTTTGATCTTCATTCTTCAATAAACAAATAATTAAAACCCCTACCATGAACACCATCTTAAGGATGGTATCTTTTTATTGAAAGCAATTAAAGAGATTTTGGGGCTTTCTATCGGTAAAAACCAGTGGAAGCTCCTACAAAATTCACAAATAAAAATCAAGAATGAAGGAGATGAAGAAAAGTAGGGAAGGATTGAAGAAAAAACAAAGAAAAAACCCTAGCAAAAGAGGCTAGGAAAAACCCTCCCAAGGGAAAATCCTAGAGGGAACTATCTCTCTCTAAAAGCTAGAGAGAGAAAAAAAGAAAGCATGAGGTGTAAGTTGTTTGGATGCCAAATAAAATAAAATCTAATACTTCCTCCGTTCTTTTTTACTTGACCCGCTTTGACTTTTACACTATTCACCACCTCTCCTTTGACCGTCTTTTGTGAATAATATGTAAGTAAAAATATATTTATATTATATCTTTTTTAAATTCGTCTCAATAAGTACTATCGTAATATAAAACTTTTATATTTTTTACTTATGAAGAATTAAAGTTATTGATCGCTAAAGTTTTGCATTGACAAGCGTGATAAAAGAAACATGTTAAGTAAAAAAGAACACAAGAAGTATATAAATGCAGAGTAAGTGAATGAGGAGCCTCCAAAACCTCATTGTAGAGTATATATTTTTTATCAATTTTTAAAAAACAATAACTACCCCATTCACTATATCCTTTTTGTTTTTTTTCCCCAAGGGACTACTACTAACATTTCACTTTTTTTTTTGGTACGTAGTATAACATATGACATGCATTAGCACGAGTATACAATTACTTTATCAACAATTCAATATAGCACTCAAAATCCCCAACATTTCATTTTTTTTAAAAGGAAAATTTTTAAATTACCACCCAAAAATGTAACAATTTTCGAACTAACCACCTGTTTAATTTTTTATTTTAAATTACCACCCCTTAAATTAAATAAATGCTCAGATTACCACTGTAGACACCCATTTTTGTCTCCCCAAAACCAAATCCAGTGATGAGTGCCTTTCACGTCGAATCATAATCGAATGAGGTGAAAGTGTGGAAAGTTTAGTGTTGCGGATAGTTTTAATTTCTTTTCTCTTCTCTCTGTTTTTGAAAACCTATTTTAAGAAAACAGCCAATCTAGTTTGGTTGGTCCATGATATGGGTCCAATAGTAGTGTAGTTGGATGGGGCTTGAAAAGAGCTTTCCAACGATATATTATAAGCCCAATTATGAATATTGAGGAAGTTATGGCCAAATTACTGAACTGGGCCCGGTTTGAGCCTTATATGCGGCCCAATGATTTAGAAGAGGGCCTAATATGGATTTATCATTCCTAATGCAATTAGGAATGGTTTTAGTCTTCTAGATTCTTCTAGAAGGTTCTTTTCATTCCTAATTCAATTAGCATTGATAAATTGACTTTTGTTGACTTTTTTTAGAGTTTTAATCAGAATAAAAGAACGTTTTTGAGGAAAATACGATTTTATCCTCCTGTACGGCAATTTCTATTTGATTTTAAGAAAACACGTCAATTTCTTAGTCAGCGCCAGGCGCTAAGGTCAGCGTTTGGCGCTAATCTGGCTTTTTGCGTTAGAACTCTGTTTTTGATGTTTTATCTTTTAGGCTTATTTTTTCTATGAATAGTCTCCTAAAAACTCCGTTTTGATTCACCTACTTTCATCAAGATTTTCTTGATTACTCTCTCTCTCTCTCTCTCTTTTCTAAACTAGCCTTCTCTCAAATACAAAAATTCCGCATTCATTAGATTTAGATACACCTAGCCATATTCGAAGTTGCCTTCGCCCTAGACGTGAAAGGTTTTAATTTCTGAGGGTTTGGTCCCAAATCTCTCTTTCAATTATTTAATTTAATTGTTTTAATTATTATTTTTCTTGAAGTTACTAATGCGTGTATTTTGTTATTAGAAAGAGGTACGAGGCATCCAAGTAAGTGCTTTAATTGTTTTATTGATTTTATGATATAAGAAATCATGCTTAGGTTATTATGATATTCCTAGTATCATGTCTAGGGTAACTTTAATATCCAAGTATGATTAAAAGTACGATACTTCCTATGTTCTTCCTAATATTTATGATTGTTAGTATCATGTTACGGCTAAATATATGATTTTTTGTTGCTTAGTAACATGCTAGGGTTTGTTATTAATCTTGTTAGTATCATGCCTAGGATCTTGCTATTATTATGCTTTATTATTAACATGATGTTGATTATTGTTTTGATTATGATTATTTTTATTATTTATTTATTATTATGTTGCTTGATTATATTTATTGTTATTGCTTGATCACATCTTTTATGCATGTTTAAAGGGAATTTGTACTTGTAATCACGCTTAATAAGATAATTAATAATCTTATTTAGGGTTAATATGATTATAATTCAAGTGATCGCCAATAATAGTTTATTTGTGCATTAATATTCAACCAACATAGATTAAACAGGTTTAGGGTAAACCTATTGATTGCATGTTAGTCAGAAAGCGCACATGAATACGATCTGAATAAAGTAGAGGCCTATTATTAGGCCAGGTTCAATCTCTTTTAGGTTGGATTTGTACCTTCATCCCCGAACCCTATTTGGTTCAATACCTTATGGAGTTGACGATCTCTTAGATCGTTAAGGGGTGTAACCTTTCCTCGTGAACGGTTTACAAGTTCCTAAAAAACTTGTTGGCGACTCTTTTGCTCTATCTTCTTTCCCTTTGGACGCCACCGTACTTTAGTGTATGATCACAGTGGGGTTCAAGCTAGGGGATTAACGCTTGAAATATTCCCTACATTTTTTGGCGACTCTACTGGGGAGGATTTCTATTTTAATTCCTGAAATTTATTTCGGCAATGATTTAGAATGAGTGGATGAGACTCGAAATGTTCTAAGTATTTCATGTGCGTAATTTTGATTAACATTATTGTCATATGCATAAAAAAGATCTCATTGGAAAGACCATCCGTAATGAGTTAAAACATAGGATTTTACACGTAGGAAATTTGAGAAATATCTTTCACAATTAGGACCGAAATAACACTGCGCGAAACTGGAAAATTTTATCGAGCACAGAAAGCTGCTGAGGCATGTAGGAATTAGCGTCAGCGAACAGAATATTAGCGCCAGACTTTTAACTGTAGCGCCAGACGACAGTTAAGTCGCCAGGCGCTACAGCTAAAATTTAGAGCCAATCTCTGTTTGCTGGCGCCAAATTCTTCCAATACCGAGCCAGAAATATGCGTTCTAATTTCGACCAGTTTTTCGCATTGTTTGTTCGATCCTACTTCCTGATTGAGTTTTTCTCACTTTTCTGAAACCCATATGTGTTCTACATATGGACATAACCCTCTGGGAATTCATGCTCCATCAATCTGATTGAACGCTCTGAGCAACAAAGGGTACATCCGAGATTGTTGAATTCACCAAACCATGGAAGCGAGTTTTTTTTTTCTAAAACTCGCGGTGTCCCATCCACTCGCGCCAACCCTTCACAGTTAGGCTTTCGCGCGGTGCATTCGGATAATTAACCATGGACCCTCTATTGACTAACCCATATCCCGAATTTTAGAGAACTAGAGCCATGGTTAGGTTGCAAACTCATTGCATCATATCGTGCCTACTTGACTAATTGTGCATTATTTGTTGTGCATATGGTATCTGTTTTTCTTAACCGTTTTTTTGACTTGTGTTAAAATTAAATAAATTAATAACTTAAAGAACTTTGCCTAATTAATTAATCAATTAATTAATTAATTTGAGTAAATAAAGTCTAATATCTTAACCAGAATTGACCTAGTACGACTTTAGGCATCCCCTGTTGATTAATAACATCGAAAACAGTCTCAGATTGAAGCTCCAGTAATGGCGCCAAAGTTTGAACTGTAGCGCCACTCTGTATTGTCTGTGTGGCGTCTGGCGACAGCTCTGTCGTCTGGCGCTACACTACAAAGAGAGGCGCCAGTCCTGTCGTTTTGATGACAATTCGGATTATTGATCGAGTCATTACCTAGTGTCTATTTAACCAGTTTACTAATTAATTCGGTTAAATTTCGCTGTCAATAATACTTTAATTTGTCAAGTCATTAATTGAGTCTAGGCACTAAGTCCCATGGTCTTACACAAGAG